TCCTTACCCTGGAAGGCTTGTTACTTCAACCAGTTCCGAGCACCAACTGTCGCCGCTCGAAGGCCATTAAATTCCACAAAAGTCTACTTTTCTTCCTAAGCGAATGGCAAATAGCTTCCCGTTCGAGCGGCACTGACCCAAGAGGCACTTAGTTTTACCGCTTATACTGACTACGCTTTGTAGTAACGCGTGATACGAACGGCCTTACTGCGGGACATAAATCCGGTCCCACCTCCCGAACGGTGTTGTTGTTTGACCTTCCTATCGATCCCCTGGAGAGTCTTTATTTGTTCAGATGCGCTTTGATATTTGAATCCCGTAGTAAGGCCGTTCGCATTCTGCGTCACTACAAAGATTTCGATTTTGAATTGTATTCTTCTTGCGGAAAGTATTTATTTAATTGATATGTCATCAGCAGCCATTTTGATTTGGAGAGGCCTTCTCAAGTCAAGCCACAAATATCACCTCAATCACGTGCAATAGCAGGAATCCATTACTTTGGCTTCCGACAAAAGTAAAAGTATTTCGGATGTTATTCAATGTTTTATATATATCTTAAGTCAAAAGAAAGGCCAAGGACTAAAATGCTCTTTTTGTGTTCCTGTATAGAGACACCTGTACCACAAGACTTTTATAAGAGACTCTCCGATCTTGAGAAAAGAATTCTACACCTGGAGGGTCTCTCGCCAGAGTACTTCAGGAATAACGTAAGTACTCAGTCAGTAGGATTCGGAACAGTGGCTGTAGGTTAAACCCTTACCAGGGATCCAAGAATTTTATGATCAGTGTCCAGTCCTTCTCGACCAACTCATCTTCCCACTCCCTTTATGGAAAGGTAGTAAGGTGAAATCCTGTCGTTGCAAGAATTGTTCTGGTTGACAAATGCTAAAAAAGAGCAAAGGTCCAATTCAGGTTCAGTGGGGGAGTGGGGGGGAGCGATCAAGAACCACCAGGCCCTCCCTTTGGTTTGTGCATACGGAATGTTCGTTCTATCACTGGGTCTGTATAATCTGACACACGTTTCTTTTCGTTAACATCCACTCGTTTTCACTTATCTTTGCTTTGATCTGACCACGTGTCCAAAGGAGAAAAAAAACCTTAAAGAAAACTGAAGACCTGGGGTTTCCTTCCTTTAGTGTCTAGGCAGAATTTTTCTTCAGACTCACGCTCGTGACAAGACCAGAAAAAACATCTTTCATCGCTTCCCCATGTTATCTTACACTGTTGACTTTATATCACGCTATTGGCTTCGAACCTGCAAAATGACATTTTTCGGTTGTAATATTTCAGCCTGAGAATATGAGAGATGGAAAAATGTCTTCCGGTGGAGAATCGACCTTTGGTTCTACTCAGGTAACATAACCATTTTCACCTTTAACTGCCAAATAAATTTCTTAAAAGCGCACATGATAAGAGGCCAACAAGAATCCGGACAGCGATCAATTTTTTAAGCATTTTCTTTCGAGGTACTCCAATTGAACGGTCGGAAGTCGTTACAACAATTACTGTAATTGAGGAAAACGAAGATGAGTCTGCATTCCACAACAAAAACTCGCGTAACTTTCGCCACGCGCGTTTGCTATATTATTTGCTATGTTATATTAACGTTCCTCGCACACAGCGCGCGTCTTTTGCACTCAAGAAATGCCTTCGTTCGAGTCCTTAGATAGCTTTTTGTACGTTCTACTTGGGAATATCTTTATATAGTCTGCATTGCTTTACTTTCAAACTTCTAAGTCAGTTCTTTTCAACACCCACAGAGCCGCACATTAGACGAGATTGATGACAGAATTAGAAGCTTGCGCCATTCATTGTCCAAGGGAGTTTCAAGCTGACTAAAGTAAATGACTGTGATACAAAAATATCACTGTTAAATAATCATTGGCCTATACCAGGGATTAAATTAGCTGAAAAGTCGATCAAGAGTACGCGATGGAGGCGCATGTGGGCAGATGAACACAGCGGTCAATCGTCGGGCATGCGCAAGGGGAATAATTTTAGCCGCCTCCGTGCCAATTTCCCGCGCTCACAT